CACGAATTCTTTCTTGGCCATCGGCTCCGAACCCCAACATTTTCTACACCATTAGGTTTGTACTTACTGCTATTTTGTTACTTGTTTTGCAGCTGTTTCTATAGATTTTCTCTGATCCTTCCTTCTTGTGCTCTTTCATAGTTTGTTGACTTCCTTTGGTGATATACTTGGATTCCTTTTTCTTTGTGTTTTGCATGTTTATTACTGGTTTTTGATTTGTGGTTCCCATTTGGTTTGTGTATAACGTTTTCTCCTTTTAGCAGTCTATGTTAAGTTTACTGGTCCCTTAAATATGGACCCATTCTTTACATCTCTCTCCTGCACGTTTTAAGTATGTGGTGTTGGGGGCATCTGGGTGGCTCAGTCGGTTGAGCATCTGACTTCGGCTCAGGTCATGATCTTGCAGTTCACGGGTTCGAGCCCCCCATCAGGCTCTGTGCTGACAGCTCAGAGCCTGGAGCTGCTTCAGATTCTGTGTCTCCCTCTCTCTCTGCCCCTACCCCCTTCATGCTCTGTCTCGTCTCTGAAAAATGAATAAACCTTAAAAAAAACTTTTTTAAGTATGTGGTATTATATTATACAGCTTTTTATTTTATGAGTCCCTTAACAGATTTTTGCACAAACACTTGTTTTTACTGTATTTGTGTTTCTTTTCATAATCACACTATTGTCTCCTCACTCGGAGCCCCTTTAATACTTCTTTGCAGGGCTGGCTTAGTGGTCATGAACTTCTTTAGTTTTCATTTTCTGAGGAACTCTTAATTTCTCCTTCTGTTCTGAACATTAGCCTGGCTGGATAGAGTATTCTTGCCTGCAGAGTTTTCTTCTTTCAACTGTGAATATATCATTCCAGCCCCTTTAGGCCTATAAAGTTTCTGCTGAAAAATCCACTGATTGCCTTATGGGGATTTCCCTTGTGTGTAATGTCTTCTTTTCTCCTGCTACTTTTGAGACTTTTCCTTTATCACTACTTTCTGCCATTTTAATTACTGTGTGTCTTGCTGTGGACCTCCTTGGGTTGGTTTTGGTCAGAGGGGCATCTCTGTGCCCCTTGGATCTGTCATCTGTTAACGTCCCCAGATTAGGGAAGTTTTCAACTATTATTTCTTAAAATAAATGTCCTGCCCCCTTTTCTGTCTCTTCTCTTGGGATCCCTGTGATGCAGATGTTTCTCTGCTGGATGGGAATCACTGAGTTCCCTAAGACTATTCTCAATTTGCATAATTTTCCCCCTCTCCTGTTTAGCTTGTTTACTTTCCATTACTCTGTCTTCCAGGTCACTAATTTGTTCCTCTGCTTCATCTAGTCTGCTGTTTATTCCATCAGTTGTATTTTTTATTTTATCTGCTTCACTTGTCCCTTGCTATGGTTTGGTCCTTTCTTTTCACTTGGGACATATTACTCTGTCTCCTTATTTTGTTCAACTCTATGTCTGTTTCCATGTGTTTAGAAAGTGAGCTACTTGTTTTGCTCTTTTTTTTAAAAAGTTTAATGTTTTTATTTTATTTCTGAGAGAGAGAGCATGAGCAGGGGAGGAGCAGAGAGAGAGGGAGACACAGAATCTGAAGCAGCTCCAGGCTCTGAGCTGTCAGCACAGAGCCCGACACAGGGCTCGAACCCACAAACTGTGAGATCATGACCTGAGCCGCAGTCGGAAGCTTAACCGACTAAACCACCTGGGTACCCCTGTCTTGCTCTTAACAGTAGTGACCTGATGCAGATGCCCTGTTGTGCCCAGCAGTGTCCCCTGCTCCCCAGGGCCTGGCACTTCAGGAGGTGTCTCCTAGGTGTGTTGTGTGTCCTGCTGTTGGGCCTGGCCTCTTCTTCCTTCAGTCCGCTTGTCTGCAGAGGCTGCCTCTGCCTTGTGGGTAGTATTTGCTTCCCAGCAGGTATGTGACGTGTTTAACAAGATATGCACTGGTTTGCTTGAGTCCTTCCCCCGCTGCCACTGAGACTGAGGTCCTTCAAAACACGTGGGTCAGAGATGTAGTGTTGGCAGGGTTTGTGCCGGTCCTGGGGTAGGGGCCTGCAGTGCCAGGGCTGAGGTGAGTGTGACTGTGAAGAACAGATCCCCTCCCCCCACAAGCAGTGGGGAGGCATGGCTTGGTGCAAGCCAATTTCATAAGGAGTGTCAGTGTGCTGCAAGTTCCCACGGGTGGCCATTGTTTGTGCTGGGGACAGGAGAGGAAAATGGTACCAGTCAGTTCCTTGTTCCTGGAGGGTTCTCCCTTGATCCCTGTTTCTCTGGGCCTCGCTGTGAGCAGACTACTCTCCTTCCGGTCTGCCCCTGGCATTTCTCAAAGTGCTGTATTTGCAGGGACTTCTTGGTGTGCTGTCTCTTTAAGGACAGGGACTCCACTTACTAACATCCTTTTATGCTGATTTTTAGAATTCCAGGCTTCAGGGGGCACTAGGTGGCTCAACTGGTTGAGCATCCAACTCTTGATTTCAGTTCAGGTCATGATAGCACAGTTTGTGAGATTGAGCCCCATATCAGGTTCTGTGTGACAGTGCGGAGCTTGCTTGGGATTCTCTCACTCCCTGTCTCTCTGACTTCCTCTGCTCATGCTCTCTGTCTCTCAAAATCAGCAAACATTTTAAAAAGAATTTCAGGCTTCAGGCGCCTGAGTGGCTCAGTCAGTTGAGCATCCAGCTCTTGAGTTTGGCTCTGGTCATGATCCCAGGCTCATGGGATGTAGCCCCATGTTGGGCTCTGTGCTGAGCATGGGCCCTGCTTAACATTCTGTCCCCCTCTCTCTGGCCCTCCCCTGCTTGCACACACACTCACTCTCTCGCAAATAAAAAATACTAAAAAATAAAATAAAATTCCAGGCTTTATGTCCCACTGGGTGTAAGCACTCACAAAATTCAGCTCCTCTCGTTTTCAAAGCCAAGTATTGAGGGGATTCACCCTCCCCAGTGGGGGATTTCCCAGGGTGATAGTGTATTTCCACCCTTCTCTGTGTCACCTGCTCCCTCCCTGCCATGGACGGCCATGGATTGTTTCTCTCCCTTCCTGCCATCTTCAGTGCGGCCTCTACCTGGAGGGGGGCTATTCTGCCAGTCCCCAGATCGTTCTCTGGGTTACGTACTCTGATGTGAGTGTTTTCTCCTTGTGTCGCTGGGACAGCCCCCCTCCTCCACCGTCTTCCCAGCTGACCTCATGCTGTTTTGATGACTACAGCTTTGGAATAAATCTTGAGATCTAGGATTGTGGTATGACTAACTTTGTTCTTTCTCGAAATTGCTTTGGCTCTTTGAGGTCTTTCTGGATTCCGTAGAAATTAATAGGATTATTCTAGTTCTGTGGAAAATGCTGTTGGTGGTTTAATAGGGATTACACTCAATCTGTAGAGTGCTTTGTAGTGTAGGCATTAACAGTGTGAGTTTTTCCTGTCCATGAGCGCCGTTGTCTTTTCCATGTGTGTATTGTCTACTGTCTCCTTCATCAGTGTTTCCTAGTTTGCAGAGCACAGGTCTTTCACCTTTTTGCTTAGGTTTATTTCCGGGTATTTTATTCTTTTTGGTGTACTCGTGAATGGAACTGTTCTCTTAATTTCTTTTTCTACTACGTTTTGACATGTTTAAAAACCGCCAATATCTTCTATTAACATTCTGGATTCATTTATTCTCACAGTGTTTTGGGTGGGTTCTTTAAGGTTTTCTTTGTATAGTATCATGTCATCTGCAAACAGGGACAGTTTTACTTGGACCTGACCAACTGCAGGACTGTGTGGAATAAAAGTGGTGACAGTGGATGTTCTTGTCTTGTTCTTGATCTTAGAGCAGAAGCTCTCAGGTTTTCCCCATTTGAGTGTGATGTTAGCTCCTGGTTGGCCGCATGTGGCCTTTTCACATGCAGGTATGTTCCCACTAACCCCACTTTGTTGGTGGTTTTTATTGAACTTATGTTGAATTTTGTCAAATGCTTTTTCTGCATCTATCAGTGAGTAGTCATTTTAATGTTAGTGTTGAATGTGGTTTGCTGGTAATTTACTGAGGATTTTGTATTTGAGGCCATCAGGGTTACTGGCCTCTTGGAGTAATTTGAGGAACGTAGATGTTGACCCTTTAAATGTTTGGTAGAATTCACCCCTGTGAAGCCTTGACTTTTGTTTGTCAAGAATACAAGAACAATCAGCTAAATGTTGGTATTTTCCTTTTATGATGGATTCTTTTGATGCTCATTTGTGTGCATTGCTTTGGGGCTTGCACTTGGTGTGTGTTCCCTGGAAGATTGTCATGAGTGTGGTAGAACTCAGAAGGCTCTACCACGGGGCTTGCACTGTGTGTGTAGTGAAGGGCAGCTCCGTTGTGCCATGTGCACATACTTTGGACACAGGGCATAGGTTTGCCACTCGAACTGGCATCTCTGCTACCGCAGGTTACTGTGTATAAACTTTGTATTGTAGTGTGGCCCCCTTTCCTCTAGTGTTACAGCTGTGTGTGTGTGTGTGTGTGTGTGCGCGCGCGCGCGCGTTTAGTTGTTGCATGTGAGAAGCACATTAAATAATCAATCGTTTTTACCTTAGGTGGACCTTAGGAGGATATCTACTATGTCCTCATAATTGACAGAATCCTGAAGAATTTAGTTCTAATCTTTGAGAAGTCTAGATAAACATTACATTAGTTTCTTTTATTTTTTCTTTAGGCTAAAGTCAAAAGATTTATAATGTGAAAACGTGCAAGTAAGGTGTAAAGAGGATGTTCAGTATTGATAGGTTTCTGGTTTAGACAGAGTAACTGTAACATAAGCACCCGGTAGCGGTAACAGCAGCGCGTGTGCATCACACAGTAACGACTTGGTGAGGGTGACGGCTGAGGGCCTCCGTGGCTTGTGTACTTTCTGCAGGACCACCTTTGAGGCACATTCTGTTGTCGTGGCTCTTCAGAACGGCCGCTGCACCGCTGGCCCGTGTATGCAGCCAGCGGCTCGTCAGCGGGTTGGGCTCCAGTGAGATCTTGCTTCAGCTTGTCTTCTCTTGCTGTGCCTCTTGCAGGACAATCCGCATAAGCTGACTTTGTCAATGAGAGCCGATCACACGTATTCCGAGAAACAAACACAGAAGGAGATGGAAAAGCTAAAGCAAAAGGTCAACTCTCTTTCCCCGAAAGACAAGCAGCAGATCTATGAAAAAGGTCAGATGTTTAACTTCATCCCCATTCCCCAGCCTTCCCCCAACCCCCGTGAACTTCGTGAAATGAGCAGGTAGTTGGAGGCGAGTGCCATTTCAGCTAGCATATTTATCGGGCGGTGACAGAGGTCACAGTGGGTGTGACGGCTTCTCTCCCAGTACGATGGCTGTCCTCAGAAGCCTCATCCTGTGGATGAGGAAGGCAGGGCACTGGAGAAGAGGCACAGCCGTCCCCCACCCCAGCCCCCCGTGACCTGTGGTCACCGCGGGCCACGAACATATTCTCCTGATGCGCCCTCAGAGCTGTGTCACCGTGCCTGAGTCTCTCACGTAGGCATTTTGTCGCTTCCCCGGCACAGGAATGTATTGAGAGAGAGCAGACATCACATTCATGTGACTTTCATTTCAGCGTATTGTCGCCGCTGTTCTGTGTTATCGTTAGTTGTTGTTAGTCTTGCTGCACTGAGTTTATGAATTGAACTTGGTTACGGGTAAGTACGTTTGGGGTCTGGCTTCATCCACGGTTTTGGGCATCTGCTGGGGAGCTTGGAACATACTCCTTGCGATCATGACGCACTGCGGGGGGCCAGGGGGCACAGGCCTGGGTGCAGACAGACGGGTACCTGGTCCCTTCCTGGGCTGAACACACTGGCCCTACAGCCCAGCGGTCTGCTCCAGATGATTTGCCCAAAAGAAATGAAAGCACATTTCGGGAAACAGCCCACGTCTCCATCAACACAGTGTGTCCACGCGGTGACAATACTCTTCAGCCGTATGAGAAGCAAAGTATGGACACACTCAGCTTCAATGGGGCTCAGATGCATTGTGCTGAGTGAGACTAGCCAGGCCCAAACCGCGCCTGCCCAGTGCGGCTTGTACACGACACTGTAGAAATGGTAAAACTACACTGAGGCAAGGCAAGTGAGGGCCGGGAGCCTCCCGCAGGAGCCAGGAGGGGACTTTGTGGCAGACGGAGATGACATCACAATGTGATGATCGTAGAACTTTATGCATTGGTAGAATTTATTGAATTAGGTCTTTAAAACTGTGGATTTTATCATCTGTAAGTTATACGAATAAATGAAATCTATCAAAGTAGATACACAGTCTGCACCGACCCCTCCCACCCCACCAGAATGGCAGGTGGCCGGGATGGTGTGAGGGCTGTCAGGTTACCTATCAGGCACTGGTGCAGGCGATGTAGTCTAGTGAAAGCGATTCAGCATGTAAGCCGTTACTCTTGATCTCAGGGTTCTGGATTTACCTACAGCTGTTATAAGCTCTTCATAAATGCAGCCAGCTAATCGTGAGTAATAGAATAATCGCTTCTGTTTCATGAGTGCCACTGGACAAGTCCATCTTCTTTTTTTAAATTGATATATAACTCATCGCTTGGCCTTTGGGTAAGGTCAGCTGGCATGTTCTCCATCTGAGGACAGTCTGCTCCATCGGTTTAATAAGTGCATAAGCAAGTACGGTTGGTACATTATTGTAGCCTCAGGCGTGTAGCACAGTGAGTCGATATTTGCCCATCTTGCAAAACGACCACAGGGCAGCTAGTCCACACCCGTCCCCGCACGGCTGCAGCTTGTGATGGGGACCATGAGGTCTGTTGGCTTAGCCGCTTTCACACGTGCAGCACGCCTTCTCCCCTGGAGTCCCCGAGCTGTGTCGCACGTGCTGTGACTTCATGCTGTGTGTACCTTGTCCCCCTGTGTCCATTCCTCACACACCACCCACCAGTCTGTCGTCACCGTGAGCTTGGTGTTTGCTTTCTCAGTTGCCACATGTGCGTGAGATCACACGTGTTTGTCTCTCTCGGACTCCTGTCACTAAGCGTGGTGCCCTCTGTGTTTTGGTAAATGGCAAGACATCTGTTTATGGCTCTACGTAAGCCCTTGTACATACACGCCTTCCTCCACTGCGGACACCTAGGCAGCTCCCTGGTCTTGGCCATCGTGAATGACCCCGTAACAGACATGGGGGTACAGACACCTTTCCAAGTTAGGCTTTTTCCTCTTGAGTTAACTGCCCAGAGGCAGAGTTGCTCGGTCCAGTGATAGAACGGAACCTCCGTCTGGTCTCCACTGTGGCCACACCACCCTGGGCTCCTCCCAGCAGCGCGCCAGGCTCTGCACCCCCCACACCACCCCCCGCCCCCGCCGGCACTGCTCCCTGCGCTCCACACCCTCCCCCGCATGCAGCTGCTCTGGCAGGGATGAGGTGTTTTTGATCTGCGTCTCCCTGGTGATGGATGTCGAGCTGCTCTTCACGGGTCTCTTGGCCATCTGCATGACTTGTTAGGGAAGGGGCTATGCAAATCCCCTGCCCGCTTTTAGTCAGGTTATTTATGCTTTCCCTGTTGAATTGTACAAGTTCTTTATGTATTTAGATATTAACCCCTTATCAGAGGTGATTTGCAGATATTTTCTCCCATTCTGTAGACTGCTTGATTTTGTTGACAGTTTGCTGTGAAGAAGCTTAGTTGGATGCAGTCCGTCCCGCTCGCTTTCCGTCTCTGACGAAAGCCCCTGTGTAGCACAGAGCAGAATTGTGGGCCTGAGCAACAGAACACAGTAGAGCCCCGACTTACCAGACTCTTGCCCCGCCACACAGGTGGGCTTGGTTCTAGAGAAATCCCGTGTGCTCAGGTCCACACCCCGTGTGAGTGGAACTGTGCTTACAGACCACTGCGTGGTTCCACCACGTCAGACGTGGTGCTAGCACGTGAGGGGGGTTTCTGGTCAGTACATCTTAGATGTGGACTCCGGTGAGAGCGGTGTACGTGTTGAGTTTCCGCTGTAGGTGAGCACAGTGAGCACTGTGGGGGCGGGAGACTGGCTCACTAAAACCTGGACAGCCTTCCACTTTGGGGTGTCTGTGTCACTGGTCATGGGCCATAGCCCCGCCATCAGGAGCTTGTCACCTGGCCAACCGGGGAACCCTGGGGGAGTGGGTCTGGGGGTGCAGCTCAGGACGGGGGTGGGAGGCCCTAGAACTGAACAGGGTGGGCTCCTCAGCTCCTGCTGACCTAAGCAGTGTCGAGGGGTAAGGGGGCCAGGGGTCAGCCAGCAGTTGATGGAGGTAACACCCAGTCGGGGGGGCTGGAAAAGCCTGCGGAAAGCTGCCAAGAGCCTGCTCCTTAGCGTCTCCTGGGGTGAGTGCTGTGGGCCAGATGCAGCAGTCCCGTGCCTGTGCGGGGCAGCCCACGGTCAGGGGTCGGGACCTCGGAGGTAGACACAGGGGCCAGGTCCTCTCAGCTCAGACTGCCGTGGGAGATGAAGCTGTTTGACGGACTTGAAACCGTGCAGTGTTTTCCCTAGTGTGCCATTCCAGGCACAGATGCCCAGCCTTTGGGGTTCCCGCCCTGATGGTCTGTGAGGTTTGGGGTTCCTGCCCTGATGGGCTGTGAGGTTTGGGGTTCCCGCCCTGATGGGCAGCGCAGTTTGGGGTTCCCCCCTGACGGGCAGTGCGGTTTGGGGTTCCCCCCTGACAGGCAGCGTGGTTTGGGGTTCCCGCCCTGACGGGCAGCGCGGTTCTATGACTCCAGGGAGGAAGGGTCTCTCCCCTCTTACCGGATCTGTGAGAGATCGGGCCCAGAAAATGTGTGCTTGAGCATTTGGAGAGCGTGTGAAATGCGAGATTGCACAGGCACTGCGCTCAGGTTGGCGCAGCTTGCAGGAGACTAAGGTGCAAAAGCTAGAATTTCTCATCCAGTAAGGATTGGGTTGATGGTCTGAAAACAGTGGGCTGAGCATTCAGGCTCTCTAGTACAGAGCCTGGTGGGGTGGAGGGGAGACTGAGCAAGCCCGGCCCGCAGCACAGCTGTTCCTTCACGTGTGGGGAAGGGGGAGGGACTTAGGAAAGCTTGGCCTCCCTGACAGCGGTGGTGCTTGGAGTTGGGTTTGCTTGGAAACGGCAGCAAGCAAACTGGGAAGCCTGCGGGCCGTGTGGCGGGTCGCCACACCTTCCAGCCCCTGCCCTGAATGTTCCTCACGCCGCTTGCTTATAGGCCTGGAGTTACAGACTCAGCAGAGCCAAGCTCAGGACACATGCTGCCTGCCTGCACTGAAGGTGTCAGACATCGAGCCCACCATCCCACTGACGCACCTGGAGGTGGCCCTGGCAGGTCTGTGGGCGGCTGTGGCCTGGCTCTGTATCCACACCAGCACCCTGGTGCACAGCCCCGCTGGGGAGAGGTGGGGAGAGGCGGGGGGAGGCGACAGGCCGCTTGGGGGCCCGAGGGGGGCCGGGCAGTGATGCCCCTGCAGCTTCTTCCCGTCTCCTGCTCTGCTGCCCGTGGGCTCACGGGAGCACGTGCCCTGAGGAGTCCGTATTTGGGCCATGCACTTGGTCATGGGGTCACTTTGATCTTGAGAAGCACCCTCACTTTCTCTCTGTTCTTAACATGGCTCCTTGTGTTTACTACGGCCCTGTAGTGGGTGTGCACGTGCGTGCGTGTGTGTGTGTGTGCACGCACACGCATAAACGAGATCTTTCCTTCGGAGGAGGCCTCTGGGAGGCAGGGTTAACGTTCCCACGTCTTCATGCTCCCCTAGTTTCAGTTCATCAGCGAGGTCCACTAAGGTCATTAGAAGAGTTGGTGAAGGTAAATCACAGGTTGTCGGTGAATGCGCGCCACCCCCCCCCCCCCCCGTTTAGATGTAGCGCAGCACTGGTGCCCCGAGGCACTGGGGTGCCACATGCACGGTGGGTCGTGGCACCTCGTGGCGGGGGGCACGTGGGACGGGCGAGGGAGGAGGTTGGGCGTTGCCAGCCCCCGAGGCCGCACGGGGCGGGGGGAGGGGTGCAGAGCTGCAGGCGCCGAGGAGCACCCCCTCCGTCCCAGGCCTGGCAGAGGTGGCTTTCTTCCGCGCAGAGAACTTACAGTTTCACCTCGAAGGAGATTAGCCTTTGCTGATGTGAATTTTAAACACCCTTGAAAAGCACCAGCGTTTAAATATTACCCAAGACAAGAGTGATGAGTTTCCCAAGGTCACTGCCTTCTGTCCCTGCAGCCGGCGAGACCCCCGTGCAGTATTGTGCGCAGCCCACCAACGGCGTGGTGTACTTCAGAGCCTTCTGTAGCCTGCACACCCTTCCCGAGGAGCTCCGGCCCTACGTGCCCCTCTTCTGCAGCGTCCTCACCAAGTAAGGGTCTCGTTCAGGCGCGCCAGTGGTCATGGAGTCAGGTCTCGGGCCTTGGCGCTCACGTGAGGTCACAGAGTCAGGTCTCTGCACATACACGTATTTAATTTGTTTCACTACATCAGTAATTGCTCTTTAGCAAGTCATTTTAATTTGGAAAACCCCTAGTGTTAGGTAGGTAAGTAAAGACATGTCTTAGTTCCTCTTATGATTGTGAAGAATGAGATCTTAATCAGAAAGCAGAAGTACGTCGGACACAGAGGAGGGGGTGACCTGGCCGTGTGGTCCCTACTGAGCTGTAGACCGCTGTGACCCCTTGTAAAGCAGGCGTCCGGGTGGATGTGAGATTATGCCCCCACGGCCTGCTTCTCCGCGGGTCTTGGTGGCCCGGCGTGGCAGGGCCATAGCACCTCTGTCCCTGTGCCGGGGCGTCCGTCCGGGGAACAAAACCCGACAGCAAGTGGGCCGGGGCCTGTGAGCTTCCTGGGCAGGATCCAGAGGACGCGGGACCGTGCACCTGGCGGAGGTCACGGGCGGACACCGCTGACCGCTGCCGCGTTCTCTGCCCTCCCTCGGACACGGCCCCGCTGCGTGTCCTTCACGGCCCGGCCGCTTCTGGGGGGCCTCACGGTGGTCACCGTGCCTGAAGTCCTTTCCCCCGGGGGGAGAGTGAGGATGTCCCTCCCATGGCCTCACCCGTGCTGAGGGGACTTCGTAGCTCACAGAGGCTGGCTTTCCACATCTCCTTTCTGAGACGCAACGCTTGAGCCCTGAAGTCAGGGCCAGAACGTTTTAGAAGGAAGGAAACACCCCAGGGGAGGCCGTCCTTGCAAAAGCGGGGCTTAGGATCCTGTGCTTAGTGCCAGGGGGGCGTGGCGCCGCTGAGTGGAGTCCCCGCACACCTCGCGTCCGCCCGGAACGGGGTGCGAGCGGTGGGAAGCGGCGTTGCGTGGGGTGGGGTGCAGGTGGCTGGGAACCCCCCTTTGCTGCGACAGGCTGGGCTGCGGCCTTCTGGACTACAGACAGCAGGCTCAGCAGATCGAGCTGAAGACGGGGGGGATGGCCGTGTCCCCGTACGTGCTCCCCGACAACTCGCACCTGGACACGTTCGAGCAGGTAGCAGTTTCTTCTGCGTCGAGGGGCGCTTCCTGGCGCTGCTCCAGCACGTTTTTCTGTCCCTTCAATTAAGTCCTCGTTTCCTTTTCTCACGATTTAGGGTGTGCTGTTTTCATCTTTCTGCCTCGATAGAAACCTGCCAGACATGATGCAGCTGTGGGGTGACATATTCAACAGGTCACTGTCCAGACCCTCCTCCTGGGGACGGCGGCGGGGGACGGGGGGCAGGCGTCTGAGTGTTGTAGCTCCTCGTCTGAAAACTAACATTTAATTAACTTTCCGGGAATCTCGAAACTGGGGTGGTTGGTCTCCAGGGACTTAACATGCTCTTGCCCCCGAAGCCCGTGCTTTGAAGAAGAGGAGCACTTCCGAGTGTTGGTGAAGATGTCCGCTCAGGAGCTGTCCAACGGCGTGCCTGACTCGGGGCATCTGTACGCGGCCGTCAGAGCCAGCCAGACCCTGACGCCGGCGGGGGGCCTGCAGGAGACCTTCAGCGGGATGGACCAGGTGACCTGGGGCCAGACTCTCAATGCCCCGGGAAAGCTCGCTCTGGGTGGTCACGTCTTGGAGGGAAAATTGTCGTAATTCACCTTTTTCTTCCTCACGCCCCCGCCTCTTCCCGTCCCCCACCCACAAGCCTCACAGGCGCATCCCACACCCCCAATCCCCCACAGCCGGTTTCTCAAGTCAGGGGTCTGGCTACCAGACCGGGGAGGGAGCCTGCGGCCTGCCCGCAGTTCAGCCTCCAGGGTCTCTTTCTCCGGCTCAGGTGAGGCTCCTGAAGAGCATCGCAGACATGGCCGACGTGGGTTCCGTCCTCCGGAAGCTGCCTCACATCAGGAAGCACGTGCTGCACCGAGACCACATGAGGTGGGGCTCCCGGCCGGCTTCTCAGCAGACCTCGTCCCCCCCCACCCCCCCGCAGCGCGGCCGTCCGACGTGTGCCCCGCGAGGCGGGAGCCTAAACTCGTCCTTCCCTGGAATAACCCACGCAAGCGGAGCAGAGGCTGGGGGGGGGGGGGGGGCGGGGGAGCTGCCAGAACCCTAGAGCTGCAGAGCCCAGTCTTGAAAATGTCTGGCTAGGGAGGTTCCAGACGTAAACCGCAAACGTGCCGCAGGCAAGAGGTCCCTGCGACCGAGGGGAGGCGCGCTGGCGGGGGCCGAGCAGCCCACAGCGTCTCTCATGAGAGCAGGCGCCCAATTGGGGAGGGAAGCCCCCTCTGAGCCCTCAGGCCCCTGAGCACAAAGGAGATTTTAAACGACTGACGCTGTGTTTGCAGCATCTCACTGGTTCTTTGTAGAGCTCCCCAGCGTCCTCCCCGTTGGTCCTTGGGGGCCACTGCAGGCTTCCCGACCCCTGCAAGGGCAGGTGTTTTCCAAAAAAATTTTTTAATGTTTATTTACTTTTGAGACAGAGCGAGTGCAAGCAGAAACGGGGAGGGAGGACAGAAGGAGAGACAGAATCTGAAGCAGCTCCAGGCTCTGAGCCGTCAGCACAGAGCCAGACATGGGGCTCGAACCCATGAACTCTGAGATCATGACCTGAGCTGAAGCCGGATGCTTAACTGACTGAGCCACCCAGGCACCCCTGTGAGGGCAGGTGTCATAAGCACTGTGACCACTCGGACCTTCTGTTTCCTTCTCCATAAAACGCTGCTTTGCGTATTCGTGGCAGGGAACGGACAACTGTTGGCACAGTTGGTGTAACGTCTGGAACAGTCCGTGCTGACTGGGCGGCACCTCCCGTGAAGGGCTAGGGCCCGGGGGTGGAGACCCACAGCGTCTAGTCTGTCGGCCGCACGTGCAGCGGAACTTAGGGGACTGATGTGAGAGTATTTCTGGAGAGCTTGGTAATTCCTCGGCAACTTCATCTTCTCCACTTTAATGACCAGTTCACGGTTTCAAATTGTGGACTTCCCTTCTAGGCAGTGGCTTAGATTTTCCTCCTTCAGGTAACGCAAGCCCGAAGGCCCCGGTAGCAGGAGGTGTGTTGCGTGCTCTCCTGAAGGGGTGGGGAGAACGAGTCAGGGTCAGGAGTGCGGCCATTGCGCCTGCAGCCATTACTTCTGTGCGGCTGCTTCTCTTGAACAGGTTAATCGCTGTTGTTCCAGATGAGAAGTAGAAAAGTCGTATTCACTCCTTTGTGTTGTTTGTACAGAGTGTAATGAATCTAAAACTTGCATCTTTTACAGTAGCGCCTCCTACTCACTCACGGCTCTTTGAACAGGTGCTCCCTGAACGCTACGCCTCAGCAGCTGTCTCTGGCCGAGAAGGCGGTGGACAAGTTCGTTGGAAGCCTTGGTGGCGGTGAGGCGGGGCGCAAAGCTGAGCGCCCGCGCGTAGTGGAGGTGAGTGCGCTCACGGGGCGGCAGCCTGGCCGGGCGCAGGTCCTGGCGGGGGGAGGGGAGGGAGCAGAGGACAGCAGGGTCGAGCAGCTTGCCCGGGGGCAGCCCCGGGAGGACTTGTCGGAGCCCCACCGTCTGGCCTTGGCTCCTGCGCGCCCTTCCTGTCACTTCAGCCTCTGCAGCGAGCGCTTTCCTGCTGCGGAAGAGCCGTGGGGTTATGATCCCCCGAGCCGGCGTGAGAACGGCCGGAAGCCCACCCGCACGGGCAGGTCTCCGTGCTGCGGGCGGCTGTGGTGCACGGACGGGTCTCCCGGTGTCCTGAGCGGGGGTGTTTGTGCAGAGGGGGGCCTGCCCCTCCTCCGCTGTGTCCCTGTGAGGACTGGTCGACCCAAGGACCTGCACAGACGTCACGCTAATGTAACACGTTGCTCCTGAGGTCACGTGGCACGTGTGTGTCTTTGTGACCAGACCTGGATGATTTCCGGTGAGTCCGCGAGTTTTCTCACTTCTCTTGGAAACCCTGTATTTTCAGAAGCCCGTCCCCAGTGCGTCTGGTGGAAGCACACACATCGGCAGCCCCCGAGTCGTAAGGAAGCTGATCACGGTACGTACACACGGCCGTCACCCTGGAAGGAGCCCTTCCTGGAAGGAGCTTGTGTGGGGGACACGCCCCGGGGGCCTTGCGCTCCCCGCCTCCTCCCGGCCTGCTGTCTTCCCCGTGGCACGGTGGCTGCGGTGGCGTCCGCCCCGTCGGCGGGGCGCTGTGGCCCTCCCACTCTGCTGGGGGCCGTGGCTGGGTGTGGCCCCTCACAGGTGGCGGACATGTCGCGTTTCTGGACACGAAGGCACAGGTGGAGTCACACGGTGGACTGTGGGTGGAGACGGTGCAGGGGGACGTTCCGAGTTGAGGAACTGTGTTCCTTGGGTCGGGGTCGGCATATTTCGTTGTAAAGCAGGGGGCTGTGAGGAGTGATTGGCGTCCACCCCCCGCCCTTGGCCGTGAGCCAACACAGCCACACCTGTTCCCCAGGACCCTACCTTCAACCCGTACCAGATGAAGACGCACTTCCTGCTCCCCTTCCCCGTGAACCACGTGGGCGAATGCGTGAGGACCGCCCCCTACACAGACCCTGACCATGCCAGGTGCGGGCCTGGAGGGCAGGGAGGGCGCCCAGAGAGCAGGGGGGTCGCCTGGCGGGGCACGGGGCTGCTGCCGGGCACGGAGAGGTTCAGCCGTCCTGCCAGCGTGGGCCCACGTCTGTGGGAACTGACCTGTGGTCTGTACACTAACCACGCAGACCAGGGCCACGCGCTTCCTCGCGTGAGTACACTTAAAGCACAAAGATGTTGTAAGCGCTCCTGGGTGGGGGGATACCGAGATCTCCCCCATTCTTTGTACTTTACAGTTTCCCAACTGTGAACTTGTGTTCCTCATGTGACACGGAATACTGAAAAATGTGTAGGGGTGATGTGGGGGCCCCGTCTGCGCAGGTCTGGCCCCGAGCGCCCACGAGGCGAGCAGCAACCCCACCACCGTCCTGGGGCACCTGTTCACGCCTCCTGTTAGTGTGGAGGGCCAGGGCTCTGGGCGTGGCCACCCTCTGTCCTGGGAAGATAACTTGCTGGAAGCCTCTGGCTCTCGCCCAGGCCACTGGCCGCCTCTCACTTAGGTTCTGACCAGGAACAGAGGACCCATTGATAGAACTCGTGTCTTCTCCAGGAGGGTCCCCGTGTTTCGGGCGAGAGTGAGAGCCGGCAGAATGGGGCTTAGATGAACGAGGGTCTGTGGGTGTGCCCGAGCCCTGAGGCTGGCCACCTGCTCGCCCGATGGATGGGACCTCCAGTCCCCTGGACGCTGTCTCAAGTCGCGGGGGCCACTCCCGTCCATTCATTCTTTCTCCTTTGTGTTCCTGCCACGTGAGACACGTCCATCACTCGTGGTCTTTAATCCTTCACTGCAGTCTGAAGGTCCTCGCGCGCCTCATGACCGCCAAGTTCTTGCACACGGAGATCCGAGAGAAGGGTGGCGCGTACGGCGCGGGCGCCAGACTCGGCCGCGACGGGCTCTTCACGTTTTACTCGTACCGGTGAGTGTGCGCCGCGCTCCCTGCCTGAGGGCCGCTCTCCACGCGGGCAAACCTTTGAAAGAGAAGTGCTTCCCCTTGTTTCTTGCTTCCTGGGCGCATAACCACCCCAGCAGCATCCGGTCTCAGTGCTAGCGGGAAACGTTTTAGCTTAAGTACTGTGCTTACCCAAGACGAAGACTTAGTTACCGAGAACGTGAGCTGAGACTTTCTGGGCTCCTGAGGGTCTGAGGACACAGGTTAGAATATCCACGTCCCGCAGGCCGAGGGGACTTGTGCTCACAGAGCGGGAAGGCTCCCTGTAGGCCGAGCGGGGTCTCTGGGATCACCCACTGGTCACGAGGACGTTCCAGGTGCTTCTTAAGGAAGAGAGGGGCTTTATCCAGACATTCTCAGCATGTCTGTGCCCGTCTGTGCGGCCTGTTCCCTGCCCACCTGGTCTCCTCTCCGTGAACCAGAGGCCATGTGTAACACCTGCTGGTGAAGTGGGCCGCGTGCAAGTCTCTCTGGCCTCCTAGGGATCCGCACTCGACAGAAACACTCCAGTCCTTTGCGAAGGCTGTCGACTGGGCTAAGGCTGGGCGATTCACACAGCAGGACATCGACGAGGCCAAGCTGTCCGTCTTCTCCGCCGTGGATGCCCCCGTGGCCCCTTCAGACAGAGGTATTTGCTGTTCCTGACGAACCATGTTGGCAGACACAGCGCCCTGGCCTGAGCCCCGCCGTGTCCTCTCCTCAGTGACGCACACACGTGGGCCTCTCGGGCTTGTCCCTCGCGGGGTTGGGGGGCTCCATCGCTAAAGGGCTTGAGGGGGGGCACACGAGCACCCCCCGGCCCTGGGGAGAGGTCTTGACGTGTGCTGGAAGCGTGTCCGTCAGGTCCCCTTGGAGCAGGGCAGCGTGGGTAAGGGCTTCTCTCCATCCCCACTGCCCGCAGGGCTGGACCACTTCCTGTATGGCCTCTCGGATGAGCTGAAGCAGGCGCACCGGGAGCGGCTCTTTGCTGTCAGCCGCGAGGATCTCGTCACCGTGAGTGACCAGTAAGTGCTGTGTGGCCGAGTGCGTACAGCCTGTGGCCCCCGAAGGTCCGGGTGCAGGAACGGCCCTGACCTACCCCCCCACCTGCCAGGTACCTGGGCGTTGGGAGGAGCACACGCAGCCTGGCCCTGCTCGGCCCCGAGAATGCGAAAATCGCCAAGGACCCGTCGTGGACCCTGAGATAGTTTGTGCTGGGGCGCGGGCCGGGCAGGGAGGCCGGCGCCGCTGCTCTAACGGAGCCTGGGCTGATTTAACTTGAAAGATGAGGAAAGGTACTGTTTCCCCCCCCCACACACACACACGTGATAAAATGTATCACTCTGTGTGGCTGGTCGGACTCAGCTCCTCAGTCTCAGAAGGGAACAGACGATCCCGAGCATGTATTTGATGCCACGATGCACACATTATAGTTCTAAGATTTTCTGATGGGTCTAGATGCTTATTTTAACTAAAATCATGGAGTATTTATTTTAAACATTTAAAAAATAAAAAGCATCTTTACCTACCTGTGTTTCCTTCAGTCATGGTTTTAAATGACATTTTGCTACAGGATTTCTGGGGGCCCTTTTTAAAACCGATGTGCCTTGATTTGTAAACCCCGTGTGGTCACAGCCAGGCCCCGTGGAAAAGTCTGGAACGGCCGGGTGACCCAGGGCGGCCTGGTAAGCCCTCCCCTCCTCCCACCGTCTCCCGTTGCTCACTGTACGTATTTCAGAGCCAGAGCGCGCTCGGTGCTGCTCCAGACGTCCTTCCTGCGGCCGGGTCCGGGGCCCGTCCCGTACGTCTCTAGATGACACAGCAGGCAGACGCTCTTCACTGAGCACAGATGGCAAGTGGCCGTGTTCCCTCCCTGTCCCCGCTGCCACGGGGTCCGAGTGTGGGCCCGCCACGTCAGCGCGCGGCTGGGAGTGAAGTCTGCTGGGTAAGCTTGCCTCGTTCTTAAGAGACAGTCCCGGTTTCTAGTCCTTATTCTGCACATGGAGTCACTTGAGTAGGACCTGTGTCATCTGTGCAGGGCCCCCTCCGCCCACCTGACAAGTCCCACCTCTGCCGTGGGTGAAAGCGGAATCTGTGTCGTCCTCAAGGACTTTGAACTCACACATGGCCTGGGTCACTGATCCCTGTAAAAATACTCTGTCAGTACCTGCCGAGAAAACCTTTATCCCGAGGATTTAAGTGCCTATATCTACAAAGCTCAGTCGAGGCCCGGGGCTGGAGTTTTAGCCGAACGTTTAATTCTGCTGGATACACGAGTTTCAAAGCGAGAGACAGAGTAGGAGACACAACACAGCAGACAGGTCGTGCTGGAGGCTGGGGGTCCGTGAGGGAGGGGACGGGAGGGGCTCTGTGACCGTGTCCACGTCGACAGAACTCACGTCAAGTGCCAATGAATAACTTAAGTGTCACAAAAACGGGCGGTAAACGGGACGCCGGCGGCGGCCGGCTAGCGCGGGTCTAGATGGCGGCCGGCTCCTCGTGGCCGCGGTGATGCACGGGTTCCAGCTGCCCGGGCTCCGACACCTCGTAGCTGGCCTTGTACTTGGCCAGGATCTTCATGAGGGGCCGCAGCTTCAGCCACCACTGCTCCTTGGGGATCCGGTGCCTGTGGACGGGGTAGGGGGCCGTGAGGACGGGACGACGGAGCAGGCCCTTGTTCCCTGCCCTTCCCGCGTCGTGTCTGAGTGACTCGTGAGAACGCGTCACTGGCCTCGACCCCGGCAGTGGTGCTCTGTCCATCCCTCTACAGGCAGTGAGGCTACACGCGGTTTTATTTACTTACTCGAAGTCCGTTTCCTGCTTCAGCTGTGCCACAGGTTGGAAGAGCAGGTTCCTTTTGCTTATTCCCAGCACACAGATGGACTCCTCGGTCGTAAATCTTTTTCCTGCAGGACAGAGTGGTGTCGGAGCAAATGACATGTCACACGGAGCGCGGGACGGGAGGTTTGCTGCATGGGGGGCAGAGAACGGCCGGCTGGTGCCCCTCCTCGAGCAGGAGGCAAGGCCCCCATGCTCTCCGGCTTCTGACAGGTGGGACAAGTCCCGGGGGCCACGGCACACGACCTTGCCAGCGTGGGGGGAAGGCGTGGCCTCGTCTCGCACACTCACCCTGAGCGGGGCCACTGCTACCTGTGCTTAGCGATGCGCCCCCAGGACCCCGGGAAGGGGCGCTCCGATAGTTGGGGGGCATCTCCCTAAGTACTGGAAGCGGGACACTGGCCTCGGTGCAATGTCACGGGGAGCGTAGGCTCACGAGCGCATGCAGAGGCTGCAAGTTAAGGGGTGAGCACCCCTGCGGGAACTGGGAAGGGAAAACCCCAAACGAGGAACGTATGAAACACACTTTGTGGAAAGAACCAGAGCTAGAGCTGGTTCCTTGAAGACTAAAATTCCGTGGGATCTGTTTCAACCTGTTTCTGAAATCACACGTTATCGATGAACAGATCCAGTCAGCCTGGTCAGGAAACCGGGTGAGGACAGGCACCCACCCAAACCACCGGCGTCTGCGGTACAGGGGGTTACCAGCGCCACGGGCACCAGAAAATTTTTAGAAAACGGAGCTGCTCGGACAGTTTAAAGATCCCAGGAGTGGCTCTGTAAACACGGGAGACCGTGGTCCACCCTCCCTGCGAAGGCGGCAGGGGGCTTGAGGGAGGGGTCCCAGGGAGGTCGGCCAGCCCTCCAGAAAGGGCAAAGCTCCCATCTCCCTGATTTCCGCAGGGGACCCCCACCCCCAGGCCTCATATGATGACCTAGCAGGCCCACACACCAACCATGCCGGGGCAGGACCCCCATCTCCCTGATTCCCCAGGGACCCCCACCCCCAGACCTCCCATGACCACACAGAAGGCCCGCGCCCCAGCCCAGCGGGAACACCGCTGCAGGGAAAGGCCGTCAGGCGTGCTGTACGCCAGCCGGCGCGGGGCCAGTGGAGCGGGCTCCAGGAAGCAGGACGTCAGGTGCAGAAAATGCACGTGAGCCGCCAGCCAACGCGGAAGTCTATACAGCTACCCTGCTTTTACGAAAGACCTGCGTTGATACCTGTTTCCAAAAACTGAATGAAAACCAAAGATTTTCCCTTTTACAAAAAAAGGCAAAAAGCGCAATCAGCACTGAGCCTTGCCTTGCAGGGAGCAGGCCGGGGGGTGCGGGTGGGGGCCAAGATGCGCGCCACCCCGCGCCTTCCCGGGAACCGCACGTGCACCAGCCATGGGAGCCTTGAGCTGTGAGCCTCCAGGCTTCACCCGGATGTCTTTCATGCATGTCCTAAGTGGTCTTGGGGTCTAGAGAGGCTCACGGATTTTCCTGCACAAACTACTACTTCACTTTATGCCATTTTGGCTTATGAGATGGTCTCATTAGATACGGGAAACACAAAGTACCCTTTTGTGATCACAGAACACCTAATGAACATCAGTATCCTCACAAATCAGACACTTGGCAGAGACCAACAGCAAACGTTCAGTGCAGAGCGACCCCAGTTAGGTGACAGTAATGCTTGGTCAAGGGGCACTGCGTGCTCCCCGTTCTCACTGGGGCCAGCAGCCCCCATCACAGCAGCTCTCGCAGGTTTCTCTGGAGTGAAACCCACCCCAGAGTGTAAGCTTGTATGCACCTGGGAAGATGCCCGTGCGTGTGAAAAGCAGATCTACTAGTAATTACCAGAAATAAGAGTGTGTAGAATGTTACTGGTCACAAAGTAACTCCATTTACAACAACTGTATTTCTATAGGCCAGTGGTTTGTAAAAAAAAAAAAAAAAAAAAAGCCGTCTACAATGATGCTTTTTTTAAATATCAAGAAGTTGGGAATAAACTTAGCAAAAGATATGCAAGATCTTCATGCTTTAATAAGAGATAAGGGGCACCTGCGTGGCTCAGTCAGTTAAGCATCCAGCTTTGGCTCAAGTCATCTCATGGTCTGTGAGTTCAAGCCCCGCATCAGGCTCTGTGCTGACAGCTCAGAGCCTGGAGCCTGCTTAGGGTTCTGTCTCTCCCCCTCTCTTTGCCCCTCCCCTGCTCATGCTCTGTTTCTCAAAAACAAACGTTAAAAAAAAATTTTTTTAATGTCAATGCTTCCTCCAAATTCTTGATTAAATATACTTCTCTCAAAACATCCAATGGAGGGGCACCTGGGTGGCTCAGTCGGTTATGCAGCCGACCTCAGCTCAGGTCATGATCTCACGATTCAGAAGTTCGAGTCCCACGTCGGGCTCTGTGCTGACAGCTCAGAGCCTGGACCTGCTTCAGATTCTGTGTCTCCCTCTCTGTCTGCCCCTCCCCTGCTCATGATCTATCTCTGTCTCTCAAAAATAAACATTAAAACAAATTTTTTAATATCAATTCTTCCTCCAAATTCTTGGTTAAATGTAATTCTCTCAAGAAATACAGTGGAGTTTTGGTGGGCCCTGACAATCCGATTCTGTTTCTGCGCCAGCTCAAAAGGCCAAGAATGGCTAAACAGTGGAAGGAGGTCCAGGTAGAAGGGCCTTGCCTTCCCGGCTCTCTGTAATCATTCAGAAACCCCAGTAGCCCACAGATGGTCCCGGTAAGTTTACACACTGCCGGCTGTGCTGGAGACTAGACGTTTCTCAGATGGCACCCAGGCAAGCGAGTCTCCACATGAACATGAACTCAGACCTCACACTCCCAACAACTCAGGTGGATCGAACAGTTAACATAAAAGGATGCTTTAAGGAAAACAGAGCTCAAGTCATAAAGGAAAAAGCAAACTGGCTACATAAAGATTAGGAGCACTTCGTTAAGAGATACCATGCACTCAGACAGATGGGAAGCCTCGCGTGAAATCCCAACCTGCAACACCCAATCGACAGAATATTAGATAGAAGAATTTCCTATCATCTAAAGTAGAACAAGTTTCTATAAAATAACCCAAATGGTGTTAACTCTATAATATAACAAAAGTGTAAAACACACGAACGAGGTAAACATTACGAAACAATAGAAAAACACGCAAAATGCTGGAAGAGCCCATGGAACAGCAAGACCCTGAAATTAACACAAGGGAACCTGGCATTTTCTTCATCGCTTTTGAAGGTCACCTCAAAGCCACAGCGACACTGCCCGGTACCCACATCACAGCACGAGTCCGAAAGTCACGGGGAACTCATACACGGTGCAGGTGAGCCAGCCTGTGGTTGGTGAGCACGTCTACACTGCTGGGCCCATGCGCGTCAGCAGGACCCGGGGGTGGGGGCCGGGCCGGTGGGCTCCAGCACTGAACCCCAGACACGCACATGCCCACAAGGTGGGCACGTGCAAACCCTAACGTGGCATCAGTGGGCCACGCCATCTGTGGGCTTCCGTCCACTAAACTATGCCAGCCCCTGCGGGTTTGCAGGGTGGCGGACTGCGGGGACGCGGGAGAGTGGGCCGCAGTCCTGAGGCTCCCCCTGGTGGGAGGAGTGGACGTGCGGGAAGCAGGACACGCTCAGGCTCCAAAGGCGCCAGCGGCCCAGGCACCTGCCAGTTCCTGGTTTTCTCCAAAAGGAATGCGCACGAATGAATCCCAAGTCTGAGGTGTGCCAAGTGCAAGCCAGACCCGAGTCGGAGACACAGGGAAGGGGAGGTGCTCAGTCTCGTAACGGAGCCACTCTGCCCATCACAGGGACTCCACGAAGCCACCCAAGCACCTCCCGTCACTCCCAAGAGGAGAAAGCACGTATTCGAGTACTCCCCACCGCAACCTTGACGTCGCGAAACCGTTCTGTCGTGTGCAGCTCAAGGCGGAACCGAAGCAAAGCAGGAGAGGCGCCCACCTCCCCCGCCCAGGATTCCGTGCCCAGCGCCCGGTACGCGCCCACCTCCCCGGCATGGGGTTCTGTGCCCTCCCCCATGCCCACATCTGGTAGGCACCCACCTCCCCTGGCGCAGGGTCCCCGCCCCCCATGCCCAGTACCTTTCCCCTGAGCCTCCTTCAGCTTCGTGCTGATCCACTGCATGGCTCTGGCGGAGATCTTGGTTCCAAAGTTTCTATCAAATGGTGAAGGCGCACCACCCTGTCGGTCAGAGTCACAGGAAATGTCACACAACAGTGCCCTCCTGGCTGTTTTTAAAGACGCAGAGTTAACGAGTATTTAGCAAAACTCACTTTGTATTTTTAGGAGACTCAAATCTATATAAGCAGGGGTTTTGGGGGTTTCTGTTTTGTTTTTGCAAGTCTTTGTCTCCTTGCATGTAGCAGGGCCCTGTGGCCGGAGCCCAGCCTGTGAGGCCAGCGGCAGGTGCTTGCCCCACCCAGCCGGGGCTGGGCAGCTCGCGGCTTCATTAGTTCAGAGTCCTCCATCAGGATTCCGTGACCCACTCCGTGGGCCGGTGGCATCCACGAAAATACACAGGTGCACACCACGTCCTCACGCAAGTTGAGGAACCTGATGGGCCCTCTGGAAGATGAGTGGACCCGAAGTTAAAACCCCTGAGATACCGGAGGGTGCCGGTGGAGTGGCCGCTTCAGGACCAGAACAGGTGCCGCCCTTGATCCACGCGCTCCTCGGCTTTGACCTCTGGGGCGCGCCTGCAAATCAGAGCCTCCCAGGACTCCTGCAGAGCACTCTGACCTTGCGCAAACCTCCAGCATCGCGTGTCTGATCTGTACACTTAGGTTTGAAGGCCCCATGTTGATGAAGCACTGAACTTGGCTGTGTGAGCGTTGATAGTTTCCTTACGATGCCCGTCTCCCCGTGCACAGAATTCCTAAAGCTGCTGGGAGTTACCACAGCTTTTAAACGGAACGTCACTTAGGGAAGGAAACGCCGTGATGAAACCACCTAAGGAGCACACGTTTTCCCCCCACAGCTAAAACAAGGCTCGAACACAGGGCTTCCCAGGCAGGGGCTGCAAGTTGGTCGCATGTCTGCGTGTGTGGCGGCCCCACCTGCTGCATGTGGCCCAGAACGTTCTTCCTGCAGTCGAACACGCCCTTGCCCTCCTCGGAGTAGAGCTGGTAGATGAAGTCCGTGGTGTAGTGCTCGCTGCAACTCTCGTTCCTGCAGGGGCGTGGGGGAGGGGGTGCTCAGGGCATGGCGGGCGAGGGGGCGAGGATGGGGCGTGCTCAGGCCTGGGCAGGGGAGGGGCGAGGGTGGGGTGTGCTCAGGGCACGGCAGGGGAGTGGGGTGAGGGGGGGCGTTCGGGGCACAGTGGGGGAGGGGGGGAGGGGGGGCATTGAGGCTATGGCAGGTGAAGGGGATGAGGGTGGGGGGTGCTTAGGGCAGAGTGGGGGAGGGGTGCAAGGAGGGTGTGAGGGGGGTGTGAGGGGCGGGGAGGGGTCAAGGGTGGAGTGCTTAGGGCAGGGCGGGGGAGGGGTGTGAGGGAGATGTGAGGGGGGTGCTCAGAGCGGAGATGGGTGAGGGTGGGGGCACTCAGGGCATGGCGGGGGAGAGGTTGTCCCAGGGTGCAGTGGGGGGTGTGGTCCGTGCTCAGGACACAGTGGGGCAGACGGACCCCCCCGCACATCGTGCGCCCTTCTTCAAGGAGGCCAGGCAGATCATAAAAAAAGCAAAGCAGACTACAAAGCAAAAGTGACTTTTTAAAAAGTGCCCATCAGTGACTTAGGCGCACGCGGTTTCTAACACAACGTGCAGCGACTCCTGCGTTTCTTCAGGGTCGAGTGAGGACCCGGGCAGACGCTGGACTGCCCCCGAGCGTTTAGACCCCGAGCCCGGACGGCTCTGAGAAGCCAGGGCTCGGTGAGCGAGGAGGGGGCGCCCTACCTGAGCACAAGGCCCCTCTGAATGGTGGTCTTCATCTTCTCGGTCAGGTGCTCCACGTTGGCCTAGGGAAGAGCGTGCCGTCAGTCAGGCACCCACCCCGTCACCCCCGGGGGACCCGGGCCTGGACGCACCTGCAGGTCTCGGATATTGAAGGGCTCTTCGAAGATGTAGGCGGCGTCGGCCCCCGCGGCGAGGCCCCCCATGTTGGCCAGGTAGCCGCAGTAGCCTCCCATGGTCTCGATGATGAACACGCGGCGCTTGGTCCCGCTGGCCGACTGCTTGATGCGGTCACACGTCTGGCCACAGAGAGGGACACGGGTCACTCCACCCCAGGCCCTGCCGCGCTGGCGTGGTCCCTGCGTCCTGACACCGCCCGCCATGGGGAGGGGTGCCCAGGGCCAGTTCACTCCTGCTGCCCCCGCGGCCCCGCAGGACGTGGGCGCTGGCAGATTTTATGGGCTCAGTGGGAATTTCCGTTCGGTGGGCTCCTTCAGAGAAGCTCCCCGTGACATTTGGGTTTTGGGCATCAGTCTCTCCGTGACCAGCACATCGCATGAGCGCACCTATGCTCCTAGCGGACAGCAGCTCCCGGACAGAGGTCCTCAGAACCCCTCCAGACGCTCCTCGGCCTGGGGGTCTCCTACAGAAATCAGCTGCGGGCCCTCCTCACACACAGCCTGAGCGCCCTCTCCGCCTCCTTGCCGCTGCCCCACCGGCCCAGACCACCACGCCCGCTCCGCGGACCACAGCGCCCCTCCCCGGCCCGCCGAGGACAAGCACTCGGGTCCAGTGCTCGCCTGGCTGGGCCCCAAAGCAGCACCTTGGAGTACAGGTCAGAGCCCCTCTCCGGGCTCCCCGGGCCGGCCCTGCTGCCGGGGGAGGACCGCGGCCCCCAGGCCACCGCGGCCCAACCTGGCATCACCAGGTCTCGATCCAGCAGTTTCAGCCAGCACCTTCCCCCCCCACCACGTTCCTAAACCAGCACGGACGGCACCCCGCCCCCAGCTGGTGGTACACGCACGGGCCTCTCTGCCGTTTGTGGGGAGCAGGAGGAATCCAGGGGTGCTGATGCCCCCGGCCTGGCCCTGCTCACGGTGGGAACATCCCCTCCCAACCGCAGACCCCCTGCAGCGGCGCCTGGAAGATTCTCCGAGCCATCCCAGGGCAGACCCCACCGGCGTCAAAGCTTCACGTTTCTAACTGCTAACGTGTGGCCTCACTGGGCCTTCAAGAATGTGTCACGTGAGAAAATAAGGTGGAACTCGGTACAGTGAAGACACAGAGCCCGTGGAACTGGCCGTGGGGACGGGGTCTGGCCGGGCCCGAGAGCTGGGAGGTCCTCTCCAGGAAGTGGGGCGGGAGGACCAGACCAGGCAGGGGCGGGGCGGGGCGGGGCGGGGCGGGGCCCACCCAGCGCAGAGCCCTGGTGAAGCCTCGCAGCACTGTGAGCACCGCAAAGGTGCGACGCCTGGAGCCTCCCGCGCCCCGTGGCCGGGGCTACGTGGGGTCTGTCCGAGGCCCTGCTGCACACGAGAGGAAGCAGGAAGAGAACCCAACGAGGTCACGTGTGGGGCCCACGGGAGCCACCGCCTGAGAATGAGGCCGTGGCCCTGCCCAGAAGCAGGATGACCTCACCTCCCGACAGCAAATTCGGGGAGACGATGAGGAGGACGCCAAGGTGCACATGTCACGAGCTCAAGGCTGGGGCGCAGCGCGCTCCGGACCGAGGCGCAGGGAAAGCCTCCCCGGCCCTCGCGGTGCTGCAGCTCTGAAGCACAGCCGGGACGCCAGCTGCCGTCTTCCCAGGGCCTCCGGCGGCTGCAGGGCTTTGCACGGCGAGCTCAGGAGCCCAGGCGACGTGACCCTCGAGGAGGCGCCCACCCTGGGCCACTGCCCACGGCAGCCCGCGGCTGGGCCAGAGGCCCTCGGGTCCGGCACGGAGCACACAGACCAGGCGGGGCCAGCGCAGGGCCCGCCGGACCCTCAAGCACGGGAGACCCTCCCCAGACAGCCACGGGCGGGGGGTTCCAGGCCGTGGCCATGCCCCGCTGACCCCCAGAGCGCTCAGCCTCACGGTCCCCTAACCCCCGCGTGCACGCCCTCCCTGGGACACCACGTCCGGGCCCCGCTGTCCACCTGAGTGGGGCCATAAGCCCACGAAGCAGCAGGGCCTCCTGTCCTGGGCCTGCAGGGGGGCGGGGGGCTCCTCCCCGGACCTGGATCCGGCCGAGCGGCGGCGTTGCCGGGGCCCCTCACCTCCACCAGGACATTGAGGCCAGTGTCAGCGCCCAGGCTGACGTCTGAGCCCGGGACGTTGCAGCTACTGCTGGCGGGCACGATGCACACGGGGACGCAGAGCTCCGGGCGGCCTTCACGCTCCTGGGCGAACAGGAGCGAGCTCTGGAAAGCCTGCAGCCGGGGCGCGGGCGGTCAGCGGGGCGGCCCCGGCACCTCCCCGCCGGCCGCCAGGTCAGGGGTGTGGCGGCTCTGCGGCCTCCGCGGGGTGAGCTGCGGGAGCAGGCCCCCCGGGTGTGGGGTGCAGGGCGGGGCCTCCCAGAGGAGGGACGCAGGCAGGTGGGCAGCAGAGCAGGGCCCGCTCGTTAGTGGAGGGCGAGCAGCCAGTCCTTTCTTGGCACCTCCAGGCGGCGAGGGAACCCAGTCGGGAGGGGACTTAATTCAGGGCCACGCCGCCTGGCAGCTTTGTGCAGGGAGCAGGGGTGCGGGGCCCTGGCAGCGAGGCCTCAAAGACGACCCAGGTCCCAGGTGCGGAAGGACGGCCAGCAGCGGGAGGGCTCAGGCGCGCCTCTGCCGTCCCCAGGCCCTTCCGCCGGACACACACGGGGGCTGGGCCCCAGCGCTGCTCTGGACCCCAAGGTGGAAACGTGTGCCTCTGATGCCAAAAGGGGGAGCTGTTCCCAGGCACACGGGCGGAGGTTTGCGGTCTCTGCCCCGGAGTGTTAATCGGAGTGGTTGTTAGTGGACACGGGCCCCCGACCACGTCCCTGAGCCCGCAGGCCCCTGAGCACCGGGCACTCGGGCAGGCCCTCCGCGGGCGAACAGAGCCCGTGCGGTCTTCCGCTCTCCCTTCCGGAGATGCCCGTGCACCTGCTGCAGGCACGTGCGGGGGAGGGGCCCACACCCCGGAGAGGCCTCGGGGCCCCCTAGGGCGGCTGTGGCCCGAGGACGTGTGGATGTGGGCCCGTGGCAGGTTAGTCCAGGGAGCAGCCAGGGGGAAGGTGAGGGGGTCACTCACCTGCCTCCAGGCCCCTCCCCTCCACCCCATCAGCCCGGCCCCTGGCCCCACACGGACCTGCCTCGTGGCCCCCGGTCCACCCCAGACCACGTAAGTCACCCAGAGCATCAGGGCGTGCGTGCGGTGCCAGCTCGGGCAGGGGTCACCAGGGGCGCACGGAGCCACGGGGAGAGGCCCTGAGGCCAGAGAGCTGTCGGCAGTAATGAATCTGACGGCCATAATGCCAGAACCTTCTGTGTTCTAATTCCTGTTGCTCCTCTTGTTCCTTCGTCCCAAGAACAGGAAGGGACGCACCAGGGACAGGGACCAGCCTGCTGGGAAAGCACGCACCACTGGGGACAGACCTCTCGCCCGAGGTCCTGGGGACAGTGACAAGGGCTTCTGCGCAGGACACATCTTACAGCACAGCGCCGCTAACCCGGCCTGGGGGCCCGGAGCCGTCCCCACACGGAGAAGGACACCGCTAACCCGGCCTGGGGGCCCGGAGAAAAGTAAATTCTGGGGGCAAATCATCCCGCAGCCACCTTCTCAGCATCTGAGGCCACGTGGTATCAGCCACCCTGAGCTGTGGCTCTGCTGACGCAGGACTGAGCGGCAGCCCCCACCCCTGCTCAGAGGTGCTGTGACCACAGAGTGCACAGTCTGCCAGCACAGGGACAAAACAGCCAAAGGACACGAGCGTCACAGTAAGACCCCCTCTGGGACCCCCACAGCCTGACAGCCCCCCCCAAGGCCTCTGGGACCCCCCACAACCAGCTGTGACGACGGGACCTGGCCCTGGGCACGGCCGTCATCCCCTGGATGTCCCCAGGTGGCCTGTCCAGGAAAGAGGTGTCCCGAGTGCAGAGGACGAACCCAGAGCTCACTCTAGTCCTCGGTCCCCGCGGGCTTCCTGGACCCTCCGAGGCAGGTCAGGAGGGACGTGGGGCGCCTGTGACTCGGCCCCTCGGCCCGTTTCCAGCCCAAACCCAAACCTCCTAGAGGCCACGCCACTTCCGCGGGCTCTCACGACCACAGCCAGCAAGAAGACAAGCGCCGCGCACACGCCGCGCCCGGACCTGGGGCCTGCGGCTTCAGGACACGCGGCACAGGACGGGACTGGGCGTCCCGGGGCACCCTGCTCGCTGCCGTCACAAGCCCAGCCCAGCACCGCGGTGCCATTGAGGCCACCCGTGGGCCCGTGCTCCCACGCAGGCGCACACCTGCTCGCCTGGCTCCGCCCGGACCGCAAGCTGCCGACTGCCGCGGGTTACCTGGCCTTGAGCAAGTCCACCAAGACCAAACCTAAACCAGCATCCTGCAAACTCCTGACCCCCCAAGGGAGCAAGGGGGTAACTGGAGCCCCCTCTGAATTCTGGTTTTCAGGTTTTCACAGCATGCGAGCACCAAGTCTCCGTAACCCGGAAACAGTTTCTTGCAGCAGAGGGAGCCTGGACGGGTGAGTGAGAGACTTGGTGCCTCAAAGTGCACAGCAAATGTCATGAGGAGGTACACGCCACCCGGGGCCCGGACCTGCAGGGGACACTTCCGGAGTCCCCACCCCCACGCGCCCCGGAGAGGGGCTCCTGTCGACCGTTATCCTGCTGCTGTCACTGAGCGTAAGCAGACGCAGACTCCAGCCAAGGCGGGGAAAGAGCAGGGCAACAACGGTGAAGGTCACGGCAGCGACCCTTCAGTGCACAGGACGAAGCCTGATCAGGAGCCGAATCAGGTCACAGCAGCAAAGCAGGGTGGCGTGAGCGACGGCCCAGCGACAGGTTAGTGGTGCAAACAAGGCCTCCAGCGCGGGGACACCGGACACACAGGCAGGGCTTTTTAGTAAAGAAACCACATGAGGTTTAAGCTCAGGAAAGAAAACGAGAACGTAAGTGCTAAGCGTTACTTACTACGTCAGTTCTGTTTTAAAAGCGTTTCTTTTATCTACCGGCACTAGAGACAAATGTCTGCTACCATGGGTTTAAGAAAAGAAAAAATCCTAGAAAAACATTCGTGGGACGGACGCCTCACAAGGAAAATAAAGACTTGAGAATTTGCTGGAAAGTTTTAGAGGCCAGATGAAAAAGAAGAAACGCGTTCTGTTTGTTACTTGCTTTAACTCCCACGCCATTTCCCAAGCGTGATTTACAAATACGGTAACATGGGTGTTCTGCCCTGGGACTCCCTTTTGGCAGATAAACGAACGGAGCACCCGTGTTTTTTTCCAGATGGGATTTAACGTGGCCAGGTGACCACGGGGAGAATGGCTGTAGCCAGAAGCAGAACGGACATCCTGGCGGGTTCGGGTGGTGAATAAAATTACATCATCCGGAGCTCGGCTCCGTCCTCAAACATCCACGCAGGCCATCGGACCCAGGGTCTGTCACTTACGTCACGGCAGCGAGGCAAATTTGGCCCAAACAAACTAGCGTTAATGATGCTCCATGTCACAAAACCGTAACCCTCAAGGACTCGAGCACCAGAGCTCCGTGTCACTGGGTGCCGTGGTCCTGGCCGCGGCACAGAAAACAAGGTGGTAAAAAACTCGGTGGGTTAGTCAGGCCACACCGCCTGACCTAAGAACAGCCGCTGTTGCTCCGGAACACACCCAGGTCCGGCTCTGGTCTCTAGTGCGCTGGCAGATAAAAGCGGGCCAGGCGCCCTCGGGTTAGCGTCCGCGGCACCTGCTGTGCTGGCCACACACTTACGTCGGTGATGGTGTTCAGGGCCGTGTCCGCGCCGATGCTGAAATCGGAGCCCGGCACGTTGTTGGACACCGTGGCGGGGACCATGACCATGGGGACACACAGCTCCTCGTACTTGTCCCGGGCGGCTGACAGTTCCAGCAGCCCCAGGTAGGCCTGGCGGGTGGCGTGCAGGAGGCGGGAGGTGGGAGGGGAGCAGAGGGGCCGTTAAAAACACGAGAAGGCGTTAGCGTCACTGGGACCGACAGTCCTGAGTGCCAGGGAGCCGCTGGCAACGGCCTCGTTAGGTGAGGCCTCACATTTTCTTTAAGGCAAACGGAAAGGTTATCGTGGGACCCGTCTTGCCGGGAATAAAATAAAATGTGGTCCGACACGTGATCAGAACTACGACGGCCACGTGACTGCCCTGCTCTCTGGGATTCGAGAGGCACCATCGTTTCTGCAGAGCCGGGATGCGTGACACACACCAATGGGGGGGGGGCAGCTCTTGCTCCCCGATGCAGCTGTGTCGCGGGCGCTGGGGAAGCGTCCCACGGCAGCACCACCAGTACCCAGTGGCCGCAGGGCCCGGGGGCCCCCACCCCCCACCCCGCAGACCAGGGGCCCCGTCGAGCCCGCAGGTGCACAGCGACGAGGACGTACCTCGAAGCCACCGATGATGAGCAGCGCGTTGATGCTGTGGGTCCGTATCTGCCCAGCGATCTCCTCCAGGTACTTCCCAGGCAGCGTCCTGCAAACGGCGCGTCCGGGCGTGAGGACAGACAGACCCCGCGCAGCGGACGGCACCCGCCAGCACCCTCCACCCCTGCTCCGCGGGCCGAGCCCCGCAGCACCGCGAGCCGGGCTGCGGCTGGACGGCAGAGCCGGGAAGTCAACCTCCGGGGAGCGTTGTTTAAAAAAAAAAATGGGAAGAAACGCTCAGTGTCCGGTAGTTTGGCGTCATCAGAAAACACCACCACAAAAGCGGGTGAAAATTCACGGTGATTGCTTGAACAGAAGCTTCCTGTTTCCACGTCCCACACACACAGCTCCCCCGACCTGATCTCGACCCACACCCAGGCGCCCACACCCGCTGGTCTCCTGTTCTACCACCTGTTTCCAGCGACGCGCCCACGCGTGTCCACCCCACGGCCCCTCTTCCCCTTGTTCCCACCTTGCGAGGCGTTCACGCTTTCAGGACCCTTACAGGAGCTCTCGGGGCAGACCCGCGTGGTGTCGGCCACTGGGTCCCCGTGTCTGGAGCAGAGCCGCCAACGAGCCCGCAGCTCAGCCCAGAGCAACGCCTGGGGCACGAGGGGCAGACACGCGTGGGTGTCGCAGGGGCCGGGAGGGGCCCGGGAGGGCGGCGCCGCTTCCAAACGGAACTTTGCCGCCAGATGGCTCGACGGACAGCGCGGCTCCAGGGAAGGAGCGAGCTTGTGAGCCAGGCCAGCGGCGGGGCGTGGGGGGCGCCCGACACGCTGCGTGGAGGCACCATGGGGGTGCTGCTCCCAAGTCATTCTGTGGGCTCCCCAGAACGTGACCTGGGTCCCTCGTGGGGTCAGCGGGGGCATGGATTCCTTCACGGGGAAGTAAAAGCAGCAGCTTCTGGAGCGTCAGTTGAGCGTCTAACGCTCGATTTCGGCTCAGCTCACGATCCCAGGGTCGTGGGATCGAGCCCCGTGTTGGGGTCTGTGCCGCGCATTGGGATCCTCCATCTCCCTCCCTCTGCCCCTCCTCCGCTCACCCTCTCTCTCAAAATAAATAAGCTTAAACACAAAACAAAACAAAACCCAGCATCTTCCGCACCAGCTGCTCACGTAGAATGTGAGTTCTCTTCTCCCCAAGAGCAGGTCAGGGTCCAGATGGAGAAATTACCGTTTGGTCCCAAGGATGGAGCCTCCCTGGCCGGTCCAGCCTCCGACATCCGCCCAGCCGATCTCCTTTATCTGACGTGCAAACACAGAGTCAGGCGGCAGGAGGGACGGGGGGTGGGGGGGGGGGCTTGGCTTTGAGGCCGGCTCCCCCGTCTGTGTGGCCAGCGAGCCACGCATCCCGAAGCGCCCCCAGACCCTCGGAAGCTGCTCTCTTCATGATGCTGAGCGAGTCACGCGGGTCCTGGGGTGAACCTGGAACCCAGGACCCCAGGGCCCTGCCTCCCACCACGTGCCCCCGGCCACACACACCGGAGCCACACTCTGCGGGCCACACACCACCAACAGGAACTAAAGAGAAATGGATATTGTTGTTTTTCTTAATTGACGTAAGATTAAAAGAAAGCTTCTTTTAAAGAGGCTGTCTTCTTCCCATTGGATACTCTTTCCCTCTTTGTCAAAGATTAGTTGGCCGTACATTTGTGGGTCCAGTTCTGAGTTCTCCATTCTATTCCATTGGTCTATGCATCTGTTTTTGTGCCAATACCACACTGTCTTGATGATGACAGCTTTGGAGTAGAGGCTAAAGTCTGGGATGGTGATGCCTCCCATTGTGGGGGGCACATGTACCCCAATGTTCACAGCAGCACTCTCAATAATACCCAGATCATGGAAGGAGCCTAAGTGTCCATCAACGGACGAATGGATCAAGAAGATGTGGTTTATCTATACCATGGAATACTCCATGGCAATGAGAAAGAGTGAAATCTGGCCACGTGTAGCAACATGGATGGACCTTGAGGGTGTTATGCTGAGCGAAATAAGTCAGGCAGAGAAGGACAGATATCATATGTTTGCACGTATAGGAGGATTAGGAGGAACTTAACGGAGGACCAAGGGGGAGAAGAAGGGGGAAATGGTGGGGGAGAGGGAGGGAGGCAAACCACGAGAGACTCTTGAATGCTGAGAACAAACTGAGGGCTGATGGGGGTGGGGGGGGAGGGGGAGGGGGGAGATGGGCATGGAGGGGGGCACTCGTGGGGATGAGCACTGGGTGTTACATGGAAACCAACTTGACAATAAGCCATTTAAGAAAAAGAAAAAAAGAAAAGAAAAGAAAGCTTCTTTAAATAAAAACCGGAAGACGTCTGAGGATCCCAGCTGAGGCCGCGGTGTGTGCGCACGGTCCCCTGGGCCAGCCGCCCCTGCGTCCTAGGAGTGAACCCCAGTCTAGCCCGCCTCCTTAAAACCCAGCGCCACAGCTGTGCGCCCCCAGCCGCCCCCCCCAGGGCGTCCAGTGGGCATGCGCCCCACGTGACCGCAACACGCGGCCGGTCCTGACCGCTTGCCACTCAGGCCAGAAACGGAGTCATTCCTGCCCCTTCTCTCTACCTGGGTGTGCGTTCCGGGGTTCAGCCTATGGGCCCCCCGGTCGAAGTGCACCAGGGGCTCAGACGGCTCACCCAGCGCACTGCCAGATGGGAAGGACCCCCGCGTCCCCCGGCGTCCCCACAGCCCAGCGTCCCCAACCCCCCCCCGCGTCAGCACCTCCCCCCGCGTCAGCACCCCCCCCGCGTCCCCACCCCGGCTGCGGCCGCGTCCTCCGTCGTTGGTCTGGGCTCCCTTCCAGATCGAGGCTTTGCCTCGTCCACCAGCTGGATTCCCAGCGGGAGAACTTAGCGCCGTTACTGCTAAGAAACGGGGGGATCAGATTCCGCCCGCGGGACACGCTGGCTCACGGGGGGCCGGCAGCCTCACCCGCTATCTGAGCTCCTGGGTCGTGTGACCTCCGCCAAGTGAGGAAAATGGGGCTAATATGTCAGCCTCGCTGCGAGATTTAAATGGGTGGCGTGCAGATCCCATGGGATCGGGGAGCGCATACAGTAAGCACTCAGGAAGCGTCTACTCCCTCTATCGAGGTTCTGTTCGGGTGCCTGCTGGGCCTGAGCGGGCGGCCAGCCGCGTCCCCCACACCCACGGCCTCAGGCCAGCGTCCGCAGGCCCCAGGGCGTCACTGCCAACCCTCCCGGGAAGACCGGGCAGTGCGTTCTCGCGAGCGACACGCAACCTCAGGCGTGTGCCCCGGTCAGCAGCTGTGCGCACACGACGGAGCCCAGGGCTCAAGCCTCGGGAGGCAGGTCCCCAGTCCCCACGGTGCCCCCGGGGACTCACCTGGCCTTTGGCGAAGCCCTCGAAGCCGTCGTACACAGCAAACATCTTGTGTCCGTTGGCGATGCCCACGCGCACGGCCGAACGCACGGCCGCGTTCATCCCGGCGGCGGGGGCACCCACGTTTATGACTGCCACGTTACAGTTGCTCTGCAAGACAGCGGAGGGCTCGGTGTCCCCACTGCATGCAGGGGACACGGCGGGCACGCAGGCGGGGAGCCCAGGACGCCAGGGTCCGCGGGGGACACGGGAGCCTCCCAGGAGCGACGCGCGCCATCACCCACCTTCGGGATCTGTTCATCCGGGAACTTGATGGCGAGCTGCTTGTAGGTGTTCAGGTTGGTCTCGAAGCTCCTGGAAGGAGAGGCCGCCGTGGGGCCCAGGGCCGGAATGGCGTGCAGGGCGCGAGGGGCTGGCTGGGGCACGGCTGGGGCCAGAGCGCACCACTGCGGGGCGGGGCTCTCGGGCCGGCGGGCAGCCCTGGGTTACCCCGCACCCCCAGCCCCTGGCGTTTCTAGTTACATAGGCCGCGTGCTGTGTTCCGCGGCTCAGGGACCAGGCCTTTCACACACTCAGGCTTCTTTCCTGAGACGCCAGCCACACGCCAGCCTCCGTCCTGACCTCGCCGGGCTCTTGACCACCCCAGCCGCCCGCGGACAGCAGCCTGCCTCCCCTCCCAGCCGGCGGGCAGCAGGCACGCTGCCGGGCCGGCTCAGCTCGCTCTCGGCTGGGAAGGGAGCACCGCTGAGGAGCAAGGGCCCCGGGAAAGCAGCGTCCGCGGTAAAGTCACCTTCCACGGAGCCGCACGGCGTCCTTAAATCTCCTCTCGTCCATGGCCTTCTGCACGTCCTGGGTCTTCAGACAAGTCGGGAGAGAAGGAACGTGTCAAGGCTCAGACGCCGGGTCCTGGCCTCCCGGCCCTGCGTACCGTGCGACGTCCCAGGCGGGCAGCCCCAGGTCAGCGAGCCGCCTCGCCCCTGCCCGTCTGCCCGGCCTGGGCTGCTGTGCTAAGTGGTGCCGGGGCCACAGATCCTGGGATCCCAGGGACACAGCGCGGCCAGCAGGACACGGCGCTCGCACACGGCATTCGGAGCAGCCCCCAGTTCGGGAGTGGGGTCGCCGGGGCGGGAGCGGAGGGCGGTGGCCCTGGGCAAAGCACTCTCACCGGCCTCTGCCCCTCTCAACCTGAGGATCGCAGGCAAGTTACACCGCTAACCTCGCATTCCATCACTGTTCCCTGAGAAAAACAGCCCAACTTCCAGCATCGTCTGGGTTATAGGAACACGCCCGACCCTCAGGAGAGGACCTGACAGCAGGTGCGCGCACGTGCAGCCGTGCACACAGCTGCACACACACGCGCGCGCGCACACACACAGCCGTGTATGCACACACGCAGCTATGAGCATATACAGGCAGCCGTGGCCACAGACACGCATTCAAGTGCACACACGCAGCCATGCACACACACGTACAGCTGTGCACACACACATGAATCCGAGCCCACACGCAACTGTGCACACACACGCACACACACAGCTTTGCATACACATGCAGCCATGCACATGCAGCCGTGCCCACACACATGTAGCCGTACACACACGCAGCTGTACACAGTCGTGCATGCCCATGCAGCCACGTGCACACACATGCAGCCATGCATGTGCACACACACATGTAGCCATGCACACATGTAACCATGCATACACACACAGCCATGCACACACACGCAGTTGTGAACACACATGCCACCATCCACACGCACATGTAGCTGGGCACACATGCACCTGTATGCACACTCATGTATCTGTGCACACACACAGCCATGCACACACATAGCTACACACACGTAGTCGTGCATGCAGACGCAGCTGTGCATGCACAGCCGTGCATACACGCAGCCATGCACACATACGCAGCCATGAGCACACACATGCTGTCGTGCACATGCACATACACACATGTAGCAGTACACACACGCTGTCATCCACACATGTAGCTGTGCACACACTCACATAGCCGTGTACACACACAGCCATGCACACACACGTAGCTGTACACACAGATATATTTGTGCATGCACACACAGCCATGCGCACACACAGTCGTGCATACATGCAGCCGTGCACACACACGCAGCCATGAACACACATGAATATGCAGCCATGCGCACACACACAGCTGTGCACACATACACAGCCCTGCGAATGCATAGTTATGCACACATATGCAGTCGCACGCACATACACACAGCCGTGCATGCACACAGTCATGTGCACACAAGTAGTTGTGCATGCAAACATAGCCATGCATGCACATGCAGCTGTCCATACACACATAGCTGTGTGCACAGTCATGCTCACACACACAGAGCCGTGCACACACATGTAGCTGTGCATACACACAGTTGTACACACACATGCAACCACGCACAGCCGTGCATATACGCAGTGCGCACACACGTAGCTATGCATGCACACATGCAGCCATGCGCACGCACGTAGCCATTCACCCACAGCTGTGCACATACACATGTAGCCGTGTGCACACAAATGTAGCTATGCACACATGCAGCTGCGCACACACGCAGCTGTGCACACAAAGCCATGCACACCTGTACCCACACAAACATGCACACCTGTAGCTGTGCAACTTGCACACACAGAAACATACAGCCATGCACACTTGCACACACAGAAACATGCACACACACACATTTATTCACTCCCAAAGGATTCTGGAAATTACGTTTCTAAGGGTACTTCAACAAGTCCCAGACTGAATTACTTCACCACCTCTCTGCACAGGTTATAAAGTACAAACGCTTCAGAGCCGCTGGAAAGGCCAAATAAAATGACAATCACGAACAGGCCTTGGAAAGTAAAAGACAGTGACAATGCCTGATGCGGCTCGCTGCCACCTCACCTAGCGCTCAGTTACCTGGGAAACCGCAGCCCGCGGTCTCCCGTCCAGAGCACCACCCCAGGGCCCGTGCACGCCAGGATGTCACCCCACGTGGCCATTCCAGTGCCACATTTCAAACCGGAGTGTCCTTGGGGACAGAGGGCAGGGGCGGCTGACACGGGAGAGGCTGTGCCCCGTCCACCTCGCCCCTGCGAAGCCCTCCCGGGTCCCTCACGGACCCGCGTCCCTACCCGTCTTGTCCTGTCGGCTCTGCACATGCTCCTTCCTCACAGCCTGAGCTCATCTCCGGGCAGGTTCTGCTACGAGCCGCACACACACGGACTCAGCCCTAGAGTCGCAGAGCCCCCGCCTCCCCCACGGCCAGTGTTCCGGGGGGCTCACCGTCCACACACAGGGCCCCCTGCGTCCCGGGGGAGCTCACCGTCCACACACAGGGCCCCCTGCGTCCCGGGGGAGCTCACCGTCCACACACAGGGCCCCCTGCGTCCCGGGGGAGCTCACCGTCCACACACAGGGCCCCCTGCGTCCCGGGGGAGCTGACCGTCCACACACAGGGCCCCCTGCGTCCCGGGGGAGCTGACCGTCCCCACACAGGGCCCCCTGCATCCTGGGGGAGCTCACCATCTGCACACACTCCACCAGCGGTAGGCGCACAGCCTGGTTCCCGCTCAGCGACACCACGCAGGCCGGGGTCTCCGGGGTGGCCTGGAGAAGGGCGACCACGGCCTCCACCCCCATGCGACTGGCCTGGAAGTGACAATCGTGAAGGTCAGAGACAAGGTCAAGGGTCCAGGCAGCATGCCCGCCAGCTGCGGGGAGGCACGACCGTGAGCGGACGCATCCACGAGCAGAGGCCTGGCCCACGTCCAGATGGCCCCGCGTGCCCCCGCCCCTCCCCCGCCCCCCTGGACCGGGTCCTGATGAGCTCCTTACGGTCCATCCTGTTACATTTAACCCCTGCCAGCGAGGTGATTCCGACCCGCCAGGAAAGGGCTGGCGGGGGACAGGGAGGGGGGTCAGAGGTGCAGAGAGCACCCAACACCAGCGTCTGTGAGTGTGGACTGACCTCCGCTGACCCTGGGGCCTGCATCTAGAAACCTGCACACGGCCCCCTCCCCTCAGCCCCCCGTGTTCAGGGACCCCAGCGTCCGGGTGACCGGGGCCCAGCGGGTCTCCCTCCAGAGCCCGGTCTGCGGGCAGGGACGCTCTTCACCGGGTGGCCACCAGGTGGCTCTGCTGAGCACCAGTCTTCAGGTAAAGGGTTCCTTCCCCCGCCCCCAGGGGGCGCCTCACACCTCCATCCTCACTCACCAAAATCCTGTCAAAGGCGGAGGGGGTCCCGCCTCTCTGTACGTGTCCCAGGATGGTCACCCGCGTGTCATACCCCAGCTGCGTGACCACGAGCTGCAGGGAACACAGCGACACAGACGTCATCTCTCCGTGCCGGGGCTGGGGGCTCAGGGGGCCTCTACTCACACCTACGTGGGGAACCTTCCAGTATCTACAGCTCGCTTCCCAGAGGTGAGCTGGGACTGGATTTTTTAAAAAGAACATTTTCGCTGTCAAGTAAAACATGTGTCTCCCCTGCCTGCAAATGAGCGTAACTAACGTGATTTTAAAAAGGACACATGGTCGCTAGTACCTTATGGAAACGTGACGTTTCCCCCGGCCACCGTAAGTCTGCGTGGCTGCACTTGAAAAGCACAACGTGGACGCCGTGGTCAGCCACGGAGTCGCCCTGGCCGGCCCCACGTGAGCGCTGCGGGGGGCGGGCCAGGCCAGCGTCCGCGCTCACCCCACTGACCTCTGACTGCTCGGTAAAAACAGCAGGGTGGGTTCTGTGGCACCGCGGCCCTTCCTGCTCTGATCCCACGATTCAATCTCAAGTTTGACCCAGTAGCGAAAGGGAAGTGCTTGATCTCATTACTTCTTGTGGACGCCGGCGGCAGCTTCCCAGACGCAGCTCCGGGCCTCTGCACGCGGCCGCACGGCGGGTCTGGGAAGGGACGCGAGGCACACGGGACGCCAGTTTGCAAAGGGGCTGACGTCCTCTGCCCTGAGGGACGGCTCCAACCAGAGCCCGCCTGCCCGTCTGTGCGTCTCCCCAGCGTCCTGTCTGCAACACGCGCCGTCGCCGGCCTGACTGGAGAGCCGGTCCCTCCCACCGCGGGTCACAGGCCAGCGCCCTCGGGCCAGCCCCGCCACGGCATGAATGCGACCCCAACATGGCAGACCTGTTTGCGAGAACACCGGGCCCGGCCCTTGTCGCTGGCGGGCGGCTGGCGCCCAGGCTGGGTCCCCACATCCCTGTCCCCACCCTGCGGCGTTTCAACCATCAGGGCGGCTCCTGGCCTCTGGGGACGTTGCAGATGGCACGCGGGAGCCGGGGAGTCTCCTGCCTGCCGGTGAGTCACGAGTCATCACGAACACAGACGTAAACGTCAGGAAGAACGAAAAGTGCGCTCACGAAGGGAACGCAGGGTTCCAGGTGCGGACCCCGCCCGCCGTGTTAAAGTCCGCCGCCTCCAGGTGGGCGCCCGAGCATCACGGAACCGGACACGCTCACCTCCTTGATTTGCTCAGAGGTAATCGGCTTATTCTGGGTATCGATGGCTCCTTCGGCCACAATGATGATGTTCAGCCTTTTCTTCCGGGCGCGGTTCTAGGAGACAGAACGGGTGTCATTCGAGGAGACACCCAGTCGGGTTTTAACGAGAGACGGACCTGGGGCCTTGGCCCCACACGCACTGGGGTGTTTGCAGCTAGAGCTTCACTACGTTGGCACGCGGTGTCTCTGACCCCCGCGGGCAGGGGAGGGCGCTCTGGGCGAGCGGGGGAGGGGCAGGGGGGCTACAGGTCCCCCCAGACGCAGGCAGCGTCCGGGCGGCCCCAGGCTGGGGCCGCGCTCCTTGGCCGTCCAGACCCAGAAGGCAGTAAGCTCAGCCATGGGCCCCAGTAGCGCGTCTATACCGCAAACCAGGCTTCCCGCTGCTCACTGTGAACCCGGTGGATTCCCATCACTGTGATGGGGGCAGATGGGGGCACGGAGAGCATGGAGGCGGGGGAGCCGCACCTGTGCAGGACACGCCAGCCTGGCACGAGCCCACACCCGCCGTCCCCACAGCCTCCGGGGGCGGGGGTCACCAGCGACGCCCTGAAACCAGTCAGCGAGTTCATGCTCTACCAAGCCCCAGGTTAAGACCCTCCCGTGGAGGCCGGGGGACGTGGCGCAGAGGGCGGTCCCTCGGCCGAGGGGGGGGGCTTCACAAGGACACGGGCTGTCGGTGCTGGCGTGGTTTCCTTCCTTCACTAGGTCCTGAGCACGCTCTACCTGGAGGAGCTCACGAGCGATCACGGCGTGTCCGTGAACACGGGACTGGCCACGCAGCCACACACCATCCACACTCACGTGGGAAGCTGAGCCTGAGCCCCGAACCGCGTCCAGCAGGCGCCCTGGGTCCCCGTGGGGACCCGTTTGCCCAAGAGTCTCCCCACCCCCCGGGTCACTAAGGAGCAGGAGCAATTTCCTTGCAGAAGGACCCGGGGCCGGGGCCCGAGCCCAGGACGTGCCTGGGAGCGGCCTCCCCGAGTTCACACCGAAGCAGCCAGGACCCTGGGGGCGCCATGTGCCACGCCCCCCGCGCCCGCCTGCCCACAGCCTGTGTGGGAAACGCTCGCCATGCCGCACGCACCACCCATGATTCACCACGGACAGAATGATGCCAAGCGTGTCCACACAAGCGAGATTGAACCGTCTTCCCCGAGTCGGCCGCCACCCAGCACGGGGGCCCCAGCACGTTCCTGTCCTCGTCCCAGCAGTGCGGTGTGCAAAGTCCGGAACCCAAGGACGTGTGCAGAGACCACACAGTTACAGACGGACACCCCCGCACGTGAGCGCCTCCACCCCGGAAGTGGCCTCGCCGCTGCCCTTCCGACCCTGCACGTGGCCCCAGAGCAGGCCTGCTGTCCTCGGCCCCGAGGCCAGAACGTGGCCTGCGAAGGCGTGGCCCTGGGCCAGGCAGGGAAAGGGAGGGGCGGCAGGCGGGGTGGGGTACGCCCCCGGGGGGATGGGCCACGGGAAGCACGGACTGCACATCTGCCACGCCGGCCACATATCGCCCCAGGCAACAGGCCTGAGGGGCTGCCTCCCACGTCCCCGGGGCAGAAGCCAGAAGCACCAGGTGTGTCAGGTCACCGGCCACGCCCGGACCCGGTGGCTTCACTGGTCCAAGCCAAGTCCCGTCTTCCCACGGGCAGGGCTCTTCCCGGCCAGGGCGCCGCGTCCGCCAGGCGTTTCTTACACCGTTTTTAGGTCAGCAGAGCATACGCGCTCCGTTGCTCAAACTCCTTTCTGGGAACCTGTCGCCTTGGAGGTGACGGCAACGTCTCACCGGGCACGTGTTCCCGGCGCACGTGGGGCCCAAGTGTTTGCGGAACACGACCATAAGCAGCCTTCGCCGTGCACTTATGTGACGTCCCCGCAGGGCAGCGGTGACACGGCAGGGAGTTCACCAGACGCGGGGCTCTGTCCCGAGCGCCGGCCTCCCGGGGGGACGAGTCCCACACCAGGAACGCACAGCGGGAGCCACAGCCGGCAGAGAAGGAGGGAGCAGCCGGGGTCTGGGTCACCGGACACATGCCCAGCGCCCAGCGCGGGGGGACCTCACGGCGGGGGGTGGCGGTGGGCCACGTGGCGCTGGCGGAACCGCAGCCGGGGCCCAGGCCTGGCCACACGGGCAGGCGGAGAAACAACAGAAGACCTCCCGGCCCGGCCTCGTTCATGGCCACGGCCTCCACTTAGGACTTTCCGTCAAAGGCCAGCGGCCGCGCGGGCAGAGCAACGTTCTGGGCGATTCTCGACCGCAGCCCTCGCGTCGGCGGGGAGCAGACGGGCCCGCGAGGAGCCGCCAGGCCCTATGCGCCAGGCCCGAGCTCGCCTCCGCCGCACACTTTCCGCCTGTCCCCGACTCGGTCCCAGCGGCGGTCAGCACGGGTGACAGCGCCACGGCCACGGGACACAGGACGCACCTTACCTCCGAGAGTTTGACGCACATGCTCTCCTGCCAGCCCTCCTCCGGGGGCGACTCCGGGAGGAACACCCAGTCCGCCCCGCAGGCCAAGGCGCTCACCAGGGCGAGGTACCTGCGCGGAGATTAAGCAGCGCCCACAGCTCAGAGACGCCCCCGGGCGCCCGGACCCGGGGCTGCGGGACCCCACGCGGACCGTCCCAAGGGGCCAGGCTGAGGGTCCTCGCCGTGCGCACGGCGCCCGCACATACGTACCCGCAGTGTCTCCCCATGACCTCAAGCACAAAGGTCCTCTGGTGGCTGGAAAAGAGAGGGGACGCCCGCTTACCACCCCGGGGACGCACGGGGCGTACTGTCCCCGCCGGTGAGGACAGCCTGCCTGGTGGGAGGGCGGGGACCCGAGCTCAGGGAGGGCCCAGGGTCTCCAGACGCCCCCGCGGCAGCCTCTCCAGCTCGCGCAAACGGCCTTGCGGACGATAGCGCGCGTGAGCCGCCCGCACAAGCACACGCACACTCCGCTCTGCCCACGCTGGGCCTCTCCAGGCAGTGTCTGCGCCTTCTCTGGTCCAGCGGGACCCGCGGCACCGCCCGGCACACGTGGATCGGGGCCAGCCCGCTGCACGCGCGCCGGGGGCTGCGGGGACCAGGGGGCCCTCCCGGGGACGCGGCCTCCTCAACTGGGACACAGTCAGAGGACACGGGGCCCGGCCCGACCCGCCTCCTGCTGTTCCCGCGGGAACCTGGGGCAGCACTTCACGCGATCCTATTCGTCTGCCCTCCAGTAACACACTTCTAATCCGCGTCCAGGTAAGCTTTCCAGGGTGAAAACCACTCACGGGAAGGTGCTTTTGCTCCGGATTCGGAAATTCAGGAACACGACCCATTGAGAACATCGGGGACCTTCCAGGGCCGGCACTGACGTCTACACCGCAGCACAGACACCCATCGGGGACCCTCCAGGGCTGGCACTGACGTCTACACAGCAGCACAGACACCCATCGGGGACCTTCCAGGGCCGGCACTGACGTCTACACTGCAGCACAGAACACCCATCGGGGACTTTCCAGGGTCAGCACTGACGTCTACACCGCAGCACAGAACACCCATCAGGGAACCTTCCAGGGCCGGCACTGACGTCTACACCGCAGCACAGACACCCATCGGGGACCTTCCAGGGCCGGCACTGATGTCTACACCGCAGCACAGAACACCCATCAGGGAACCTTCCAGGGCCGGCACTGACGTCTACACCGCAGCACAGACACCCATCGGGGACCTTCCAGGGCCGGCACTGATGTCTACACCGCAGCACAGAACACCCATCAGGGAACCTTCCAGGGCCGGCACTGACGTCTACACCGCAGCACAGACACCCATCGGGGACCTTCCAGGGCCGGCCCTGACGTCTACACCGCAGCACAGACAACCATCAGGGAACCTTCCAGGGCCGGCACTGATGTCTACACCGCAGCACAGACACCCATCGGGGACCTTCCAGGGCTGGCACTGATGTCTACACCGCAGCACAGACACCCATCGGGGACTTTCCAGGGTCAGCACTGATGTCTACACTGCAGCACAGAACACCCATTGGGGACTTTCCAGGGTCAGCACTGACGTCTACACCGCAGCACAGAACACCCATCAGGGAACCTTCCAGGGCCGTCACTGACGTCTACACCGCAGCACAGACACCCATCAGGGACCTTCCAGGGCCGGCACTGATGTCTACACCGCAGCACAGAACACCCATCAGGGAACCTTCCAGGGCCGGCACTGACGTCTACACCGCAGCACAGACACCCATCGGGGACCTTCCAGGGCCGGCCCTGACGTCTACACCGCAGCACAGACACCCATCGGGGAACCTTCCAGGGCCGGCACTGATGTCTACGCTGCGGCCACCGCAGCCTGCGCCCCCTCCCGGCTCACCTCTGGGCGGTGGTCATGATGGCGTCCACGACCTCGATGATGCGGTGCAGGGCCGAGTCGGTGCCAATGGTCATGTCGGTGCCGCAGAAGTCGTTGTCGATGGAGCCCACCATGCCCACGACGTTGAGGTAGGCGTGCTTCTGCACCTCCTCCCTGGCGATGTCGCCTGTGTGAACACAGACCGCACGCCCTCACTGGGAGTGCTGCGATCCCACGGGCCCACGGCCAGCGAGACGTGGGGTGTCTGGGAGATCCGCCAAGGTTCCCTGGTCTCCCGCGTGTCTGATCCCTGAACCACCCCAGTGTGCACGTGCCGGGGACAGCCCGCCTGCGGTCGGGTGGAGATGTCTCCCGCTGAGCACGTGGGCTTGGTGTGGAAAGGGAAGGGCGTGCCCTGCATCTGGGGAAAACCCGACCTCTCTCTGGCAGCGGCCTCTGGCACGTGTCCCTCCGTGTGAGGGGGTGTCCCACGCACATAACGGGGCACTTAGGGACGCTGTGTGGGCACAGGGAGCTCTCACTGGCATGGGGGGTGGTGCTAGGGACCCACTCCCCGATCTCGGGAGAGATTTGCCCAGGAGGGCGCAGCTGGGGACGTGGCAGTGCCCCTTCCCCCTGTGCCGCCACGGAGCCTGCGGGGGCCCAAGTACAGAGGACGCCAGGTGCCGTGGGACCCGAGCCAAACGCACGGCCAATGGCCAACCTCCCGGTGGACAGACTGCTCCCCACCAGCTTCGCAGCCGCCAAAAGGGGCTGTTCTGATGCCGCATCACAACTACACATCAGGACCCCCCCCCCAGACCCAGGCTGTGAGCACAGAGGGCTCTGGGGTCCTGCCTGCACGGCCTGGAAAGGGACAGGGGCCATGGCCC